GCGCCTGCATCTCACAAGTCAGCCTGAACTGCACACACACCTCCCGGCCTGGCCCCGTCCCCAGCTGGTATTTTCACCAAATGTCACAGCAGTTTGCAGGAGGGCCCAGGCTCTGGCGTGAGCCAGTGAATTGTGACCGCTTGCCAGAGAGCTGTAAACGGGATTCTGATGAATGAATTCCTCAATGGCCGGGCCCCGTGTGCAGACGTTGTCTGAGTGTCACCCCCGGCAGACGCACGAGGAGGCGTTGGCCGGGCGGCGGGAAGATTTGTGTCATGTCTTTGCCTCGGAAAGAGAGCTCTAAGCCTGCTGGCCCCGAACGCAGACATGACCGTGCCTCCCTCGCTCCTAACTGCGGGCCTGCCCCGTCTGAGTTCACGCCAGCTGACGTGCGCCTGAGACCAGGGCGAGGATGATGGATCCTCGAGTGAAAATAGAATTGGCTGGCCTCCGTGGTGATCTCAAGAAACTTGCAGATGCCCTCATCTGAATCCAAACAAAGAGCCGAGAAGCTTTCCCTCTGACACTGCCTGCCTTGCGTCTGGCAGGACCCCTGAGGCCTGAGCAGGAAGCTCTGGGTCGGGTCCTCTTGTGGTTGGTGATTGGAAACTCAGGCAGCAGGAGCCGGACACGAACTTGTCCAGACTTCCAAGGATCTCGGAAGAAGGGAAACATGGGAGAGTCACCGACAAGGGAATGGTCCTGCTGTGTGACCTTGGGCAGTCCCCTGACCACTCTGGACCTTGTGTCCTCCTCTGTGAAATTCTATTCTTTTGACCCGGAGCACAGGAGCCCCTCCGCTCCCATGCCGGGGCCAGTGAGGTCAAAGCTAAGGCCGCAGAAGGGTGCCAGGTAATCGCACGGGTGGCCGCTCCCCCTCCCACGCCCGGGGCCAGCGTCCCTGGTGGATCCTGGCTCTCCCAGCCGCCCAGCGGCGGCTAGCCTCCCAGGTTTTCTCAGCGCAGGACTCAAGGCGGCCGCCACAGTCAGTCCCAGCCAGCAAGTGTGAGAAGAGGGTTTGCCGCCCCCAAACTGGGATATCTGCCTTCTGTGCTCTAGTCTAAGAGAGACAGCTTGTGTGATGGGAGGAGCTCTGGACTGGGAGCCAGGAGTCTTGGCGCTGCCATCAGCTCCCTAGGGCAGGACACCGGGCGTCTCAGGGTTTCCTCCAAGTCTTTTTCTGCTCCGAAGCCGCGGCCAGTAAAAGCAGGGCCTCAGCAACGGCTCGGCACGTGTCAGGCACTCCGCAGGCACGTTAGGGCATTCTCTCACAGAGTCATCGTAGTGCCTGATAAGGTATTGTGGCCTGTTTCTCCCCCTGTGAAATGGGGGTGATGATAACAGCATGGCTACCTTATTGCACTGTGTGATGATTAGATGAGCTGCTAGAAATATGTGGAAAGTGCCTAGAATGGTGTCTGGCACAGTGTTTGCGTCCGTTCGCCCTGAAGAAAGGGAATTCCCAGGCTCACGGGCAGTCAGGGCTCCTGAGGGCTGTGGCAGGAATCCTGCCCCCCTGCTGCCTCTGGCATCCTCAGTCCCTCAGAGGGACACTGAGCCAGAGCCCCAGAGGGACATCGGGTGGATGCCCCCTCTCGGCCTGCACGCCAGGCACACTGACATGGCGGCCCTGGAAGCAGACGCTGTTGGTCCTACCCCCCCAGGTGAGGAAACCAAGGCCCAGAGAGAGGACGAGCCCTCAGCCAGTCTCCTGACTCCTCCGGGCTTATCCCTTAGGCCCCCTGGCCTCTCGGTCCTGGTGCTGATGCAACAATGGGCATCCTCCGGGGAGCCGTTCCCCAGGCTCCAGAGGGAGGCAGGGGCAGACTCTCTGGGACTCGGCGATTCAGCTGTCTTTGGGATGAGGTGGGGGTGACTGGGGCAGAGCCAGGCCCTCTCTGAGGACTCCTGTGGCCGGAAACGCACAGGAAGGAGAGTGGGCCAGATTCCAGCAAGACAGCGGAGCCCCAAGGCTCGTCTTGTGAGAGAGGCGTGCTTCTGCCATCTCTTCCTTTCTCTCGCCTCCATCTTTCTCTGCCCTTGGTCCTTTGTTCCTGGTTGGCCAGCATCCCCTCTTCTTCTTTCTCCACGAGGATAACCTTCCCTCTTCCCTTTTCCAGTGCGCTGAGCACCAGGCAGAGGGGAAACAAAACTTGAGATTTGCTGAACGCCCCACGTGCGCCTGGTACAATATAAACACCCCCCTTTTAACTGATACAGCAGTCCCACAAGGGATGCGTGATGACCTCACTGCCACAAACGAGGGAACGGGGCCCCTGGGACGAAGTGACTTGGCTAGGAGGACACCTTTAGCAGATGTCAGAGCTGGGATTTGAACCCAGGCCTCTGCCCCCAGAGCCACGCCATTTCCACCACACCACCGGGCGTTCCCCAGGGGAGGCTGGGAGCCCAGCATGGAAACTCCAGTGTGGAAACAGCGAGTGGAAACTGCATTAATGAAGGAGAGAGTGAGCCGCGCCGGGCCCCTGAGGCTGGTTCCTCATCAGCCAGAGCCCCAGGAGGAGCTGGGGAGAGATGTTCCCAGCATCCTCGGCAGCTAATTGCCAGCATCACTTTTTCCTTTCCCTCCTTGGATGTTTCCGGCGCCCTCACCAAGTGCTCCAAACTCAGCCTGTGGGGCAGGGCTGCAGCTCAGAGCCGGCAGGGCTGGTGGGGGAGGCGGGGGTGCAGAGAACGAGCCTGCAGGGCCCTCCACAGCCCGCTGGCCACTCCGAGGGCGGCTCCGCGGGCCCCGGGTGTGGCTGGGTCCGTGGTCCTCAGCAGGGATTGTTGGACTGATGCGCTGAGCACCGCAGGGCTGGTCCCCATGCTCTCGTGTGCACGTCTGTCTCACATCCTTCTCGCATCCGCATGGTAATCATCGCCAGTAATTCTCACAGTGTGCGCTTACTGTGTTGAACACCTTCCGTGTGTGGTCTCGCTTTCTGTTCACTCTCAGGGGTCCCCCGCCGTCCCTGTGTTGTCCCAACCCCACAGAGCCTCGGATGCCCAGAGGCGCTCAGTGACCTCTCCCAGTTAGCAGGCGGCGGTGCCCGGGTCCCTCTGACCCGCAGCCAGCACTCTTCAGCAGCGTGCTCCTGGCGACGTAGAGAAGACCAAGGCTCAGAGGACGAGTGTGAGAGCGGAGCTGGCCGGGCTGCCCTGCACCCGCCTGGACCCCACTGGGGCTGGTTCCCCTCCAGGCCCTGCCCC